GTGCATCATCTAAGTGTGAGTCTGTTAGGCAGGATCGGTACTTATTTTTGATGATGCTCATAGATGAAAATGCGACTTCGCACAGATACGTCGAACCAAAACAAGAATAAATTTTCAGAGCAATGCTATGATTCATGAGATATTTATTCCTGTACACCAGAGTCCAGAAATTCCTACAAGTTGCAAATGAGGGTTTCAAAGATGTGTCTTCTTGGAAATTTAAAATTTCCAATTTCTAATTTTTCAAGATTATACTTTCCGAGGATTTCACACACATCCCCTCCAAGTTCACTAACGTCAACAGTAGCGAATGGATTACTGATAAACGTTGTCACTGGTTCAAGTGTTGAAAACTGGCTAATTCTATTACCAAATTCGGTCACAAGGGCTTCAAGTTGCTGGGCAAAAGATGGAAGATCGTATTCACAGCCATTTAAGGTTTCCACAATAGATATCATATGCGGAAAATGTGAAAATGAATTTCTGTTTAAATGTGCAATCCATAGCTTTAGTTTCTTTTGAAAAGCATTCACTGCACTTATCATGCTTGAAATGTTACGATCTTTCCCTTGTAATTCAAGATTTAACTCATTTAATTTTGAGGTGATATCTGTCAAGAAAGCTAAATCCAGTAGCCATGATATTTCATCAAGTTCTTTATAATATTGGCCAGGAGATGATTTCAGAAAGTCCCTGACCTCATCCAGAAGACAGAAAAATCGTTCCAGCGTTTTCCCCTGCTAAGCCACCTTATGTCTGCATGCTCAGTGTCCGAATATTCAAAAGATTTCTGAACAATCGATGATGAGTAGAAGACGATCTGATATAATTTACCACACGAGTTACTGCATTCATAACATGGTCGAACTTCAAAACCTTTGCGCATAAAGCTGCCTGGTGGATAATGCAGTGATAAGAAAGAACATTGGGAGATGATTCGTCCTTAGCACAAAGAGCGAGAAACCCATTGTCCCTACCAGCAATTGAAGGCGCCCCATCTGTAGTTATAGCAACAAGTTTTGAAAGTGGTAAGTTACATTCTTTCACAAATTTAAGGAACACATTAAATATGTCTTCTCCCCTAGTACGTTCAAGAAGTGGCGGCAGTTTAACGAACTCTTCCTTTACCGTAAAGTCGCCAAAAACCATTCTAACAAATACACATAATTGTGCAACATCCGATATATCAGTGCTTTCATCAAGCTGGAGTGAAAAATATTCACACGATTGCAAATCCTGATGTAGTTGAGATTGCAGATTATCAGAAATCTGTTCAACTCGTCTAGCAACAGTTTGGTGAGACAATTGAAGTCCTCTGATAGAAGACATAAGTGCAGATTTATCTTTGTGACCACCGAACACAGACTCGCTTGCACTGATCATGGCTTCTTTAACTATTTCCCCTATCACTGAAAGGTTTTTTCCTTTTAGCTAAGACATGACAGATTTTATAAGAAGCTATTGTTACGTTACTACTTTGCTGAATAGGCTTTGTAAATACACACTGTTGCAAGGTTAAATTAGATTTTAGGTCTTTCACCTTTTTTTTTCATACTTCAGATTTCACAGGAAATTCATTGCTGAAGTTTTTGTGGTTAGTCAAAAAATGTCGCTCTACATTACTTTTTTTAGGAACAGACACGCTACCGTTACACAATAAACACACAGGTTTTCCTCTGTATTCAACAAAACAATACTGCTCCTCCCATTCACTGTTAAAACTATAACTTATTTGTCTTTCAGCCATATCAAGAATAGCTATATAAAATAGCTTATTCACTCAATAATTTGAAGTACAATAACTAAAATACACTGATAACTGTGTAACTTGTAGAATGTACTACTTGTCACAACACAAGACACATATAACTGAACTATGGTCGTCACAAACTCGCAAGTAATACTGAATGTTTGGTTGAAGAAAGCGAACTTGGAAATATAGCTACTACCTATTTTCATTAGCGTACGACCCTCTAATAAATTCTTATTATTTGCTGCATCGCTTTGTTGGGATTAAGTAACTTTGATTCATATTGCCGATGAGTTTAGAAACTGGGGAAATTACAGTAAGCTGGGCCCCATAGTCTCGTTCGTGTCGGTGAATATGTTTGCCCTGCTGATCACAGATAATTTTATGATACCCTGACCATAAATCCGAAATCCATGAAAGCTGCTTCAGTGGGGACTTGCGGCTGTTTGAGGGGATAAAAATACCGCTAGGGAAAATTGCCTGATCTTGAGAGGACGACGGTATCTCTAGTGAAAAAAGAATTAAGACTGGTGTTGTTAGCAAGGGGGGCAAAAAAATAGGTATAAATTCTCAAGGAAAGTCTAATACTGTACCATGCTTCAAGGAAATTTTGTAAAAATATTTAACAGTACTCAGACGTTCAAAAATGTCTCTTGTCTTACAATTTGAATTAATATTAAAAATCGGTTCAATTATACGTGCTTACGGAGGGTGCCAGAAAAATATATCACGGGCGCCGCGTTGGACAGGGCTGGCATACAGGATAATCAAACGTCAATGTATTTACAGTCCGTCGATAATGCAACAATTGTTTATTCACAATTTAACACTCAACACATGTTTCGGCCATAGTTGGCCATCTTCAGGTGCTTTAATGCGTCCAACTGTTACACCGTTCTGAAGTGCGCTAAATCGCGCGTTGCAGTCCACTTAAAATAACATAAATAATTACGTAAAATCCATTAAATATTCTAACAAACTCTCTGTAAAATCCTATTCCACCTAATGAGTGTCGTCCACTTTTTTTTTTATTGCTAGTGGGATGGGGCTAAGTCTCTTGTACTGCGGCCACTTCTGGCCTATTGTGCCAGACCCAGATGATAGGTGAGGGCAGTGGCGTTCCGTGCATGGAAGTTTCCGTAGTTAAGAACGAAAAGAAAAGAAGTCATATATAAGTAATTCAATTTGAATAACAATAATGTGAATATTGTCATTTAGCGCGTTCCTGCTCAAGGCCACATGACTCCTCCTTCTCCCTTCCCCTGCTTGGTGGGACGGACCAAGTTTCTTTTCGTTAATATTTGTAATATGAAGAAAGCAGTCTTCTGGGATTTGGCACCGTGTATATGTGGTGTTAACCGACGTTTCGGAGGAACGTATCGGTTCTCACGGTCTCTCCGCTTGTAGAATTCTTATATTTTTTCTTCTACCCTGAAGATGGAGGCGATACGTTCCTCCGAAACGTCGGTTAACACCACATATACACGGTGCCAAATCCCAGAAGACTGCTTTCTTCATATTACAAATATTAACGAAAAGAAACTTGGTCCGTCCCACCANAATTCGTCTAATCCGAAGGGGCCAAAGGAAGAAAATTTTGGTTTACTGGCTATGCCAGCGAAGGAATGTGTTCTTTGGAAGGTTATGTAAAAATTAACTGTTTATGTGTGATTTCAGTCTTGTTGCGTGTTACAGGTAATATTAGGTGTTATTAAAATTTTGTAAGTGTATATTTAGACGGCGTAAGATTGTATTTGTGATCGTATTTTGACGTATCAGAAAGAAGCTATCTGCGTTTAAGGGAAGCAAGCGTCATATATGTGGTACAAGGGGCAGGGGCGTGATTAGACTACACGCACAGGCAACAGCTAAAACGAATGCTGGCAGACAACGCGACTGCGACTGGGCAATCTAAAGCCTTTTAAAACGGGGGTTTAATAGTAGGGACTTTTCTGAAAAGAAAATAATTATAGGAAGAGGACGACCGACATGCGAGTTGCCAGAACTTAAACCACAAACCAAATTATGTGTGAGGAAATTCAATTTGGAACAGTATTCTAAAACAGTGTGGCTACCCGGTTGCGGTAATATAAGAAAATTGTTTCGTTGGCCATGCCTATTGTTTCTCATTGAAAAAATGTATGGAGTAAGACTGGGTTTGGTGATATCAACAACCTCCATAAAGCACTGAAACGACATGACAACTCTCAGACTCACATTATTTCAACAATGCAACTTGTTATGTTTGGGAAATCTCGAACTGACTGTCAACTTGACAATCAAAAGCCCCTGACGATACTACAGCAGAATGAAAATGTGAAAAAAAAGAGAAATAATGAAATGATTGATATCACCTGCCATTTAGGAAAGAGGCAACTTGCCCTTCTTGGTCATGACGAAAGCGTGGATTCTATCTACTGAGGTAATTATGTGGAATTGTTCACTTGTTGAGGAAGTATGATCATAAACTCAGTGTTCACCTTGAGAACGGTACAGTATTTACAGGTTTATCGAACAGAATACAAAACGACCTTATTGACTCAATAAGTGACATATTTTGGTGAGTTGATTGCTACCAGTTCGTTTATTACTCGTAGATACCACTACTTCCCTTACCCAAAATAGTACTGCACTCCACTGGGTGAGGGTGATTGTAGAGCAATTGGTAGAATGAAGATTGGCAGGGGAAACCGAAGTATTCAGAGAAAACCTGCCTCAGCGCCACTTGACCAGAACCGGGATCGAACATGGGCCGCCGCGGTGGGAAGCCAGAGACTAACCGCTTGAGCTTTGGCACGGCCGTGTCATCCACATGTTTTAGAGCTATGTGTTTATTTCAAAATGTTTTGTTTCAGCAGCCTGTTTTTTTGTTCATTAGCCTGTTGTTTTACTATGTCTGCACCCTCTAGCAGTGTCTGCTGCTGTCTGCACTACTGTACTG